ATTCTGAAGCCTACTAAGCCAGACTGAGACAATTTCAAGGCTGGGGAAACCTTTGCAGGTGTTTTGCATTAATTAGCTGACTAGATTGGGACACAGGGAGCCTACAATGTTGAACTTTGTCATGATATTCTAATTTTGTAAAATACTGGATTTGGGTTTTTTGTCTTTAATCCATAATCATCAAAATTGAAACAAATAAAGGCTTAAAATATTTCACTTTGTGTGTAGTGAACTAATATAAGTTTCACTTTTTGAAACAAATTATTGAAATAAATGGACTTTCCTTTTAATGGACACACCTTTATTCTAATTTTTTGCCACATACCTGTATGACAGTGTAACAAGGAGCCTTGTCGTGTGCGTCCCCCCCTCCCTCGAGATGTGCTCCCCCCTGTAAAAACTGCTTCCTGTAGCGCCGCCCCCGGTTGTTAGGCACAGGGATGGAGGAGGCATCGGGGGTGGGGATGTATCTTGATACGACACCGACATGTATAATACCAAGCGACTGAAACTGAAGCAGCTACCTATAATAGGTTTCAGGCATCCAACTTGTCATGCTTATTGTTACATGCTGGTTTTGAGTCGGTGAAAAGTCTTATGTAAAAAAACAAAAACAAACATAGGCTCGTGTCAATATATTCACTATTTGTTATTTCACAAAGTGCGTTCCCGTAACGTAGCTTATGGTAATGTAGGCCTTGCATTTACACAGCTTGGCCGAGAACACAGGTGATGTTAAGTAAGTAACCAACTTCGGCTGGGGCGGATATTCGACTAGTGAGAAGTGACTTAGAAACACCTCCTACATGCTAGTAGCCGGACTGCTTGCTCGACTTCCGTCTCTACTTTTTCGCAGCAAAATACGCTGAAATGTCTCTGAAACAAAGGCAATCGAGTGTTTCACACCAATACTCACTTTGTGCGCTTGGTCATCATGGAGCTCGGTACAGTAAGTAGCCAGAAGACTTGAGGCTAACATTGTTGGGGATGTGTGGCAACTGACGTCCTGTGAGTCCTACTCCTTTAAACTTGCACGAAGTGTATAAGTTTGTTTACAAAGACAGCTCCTTTTAATTATAAATACAGGAAACGATAGTTTCACCCGTCGTTATGTTTCTTGATTAAAACTATCCTTAAATACGGAGCCGTACTAAGAATGACAAGCTTCCTTAACTTAGTAGGATGTTGATGTCATCACGGGTTCTTGGCGCTGATTGGCTACAGAGAATGCGCTACTGGGTGTCTCTCTCTCTCTCTCTCTCTCTCTCTCTCTCTCTCTCTCTCTCTCTCTCTCTCCCAGCTCTCTCTCTCTCTCTCTCCCCTCCCAGTGTGTTTTTGTGAAATACAGTGTCCAGGAGGATGGACCTTACAATAAAAGTCTTGCATACGGAAGTGTCGTCGATTACATTTGTCCTGTACCTACTATACATAAATCCAGCTCTGAAACACTGATGCTGTACTTGAATACTGCAATTTTATGCTAAATTACACCCCACTGTACTACATATTCAATTCAGTGCTTTTTACTTAATTATATTATTTGATGTAGGCCTATTCACTAAGCAGATTATGATTTTTCGTGCAAAATATATGATCAGCTTATAAAACGTGCATTTTACTGTGGGTTATAAACTACCAAACAGTTACCAGGCCCCACTGTATCTAAACAGCAGTTTAATTAGTTAAAATTCGCTCCACCTGAACCCGGTGCAACATACACCAAGCAGCCATTGACAGGTGAAGTGAATAACTGCTTATCTTTTTACAGTGGCACCTGTCAGCCTGTGGGGTGCAGCAAGTCCTTGAAGTTGATGTGTTGGAAGCAGGAAAAACAGGCAAGTGTAAGGTTGTGAGTGACTTTGATGAGGGTCAACTGTGATGCTGATAAGTGGGTCATAGCATCTCCCAGACTGCAGGTCTTGTTGGATGTCCCCAGCCTGGGCTGCTAGGTTAGTATCTAGCAAAAGTGGTCTAAGAAAGGACAAACAGTGAACCACTGACAAGGTCATGGACAACAAAGGCTCACTTTGTTAAAATTGGTGAAAATAAGAACTACAGTACATTGTCTCTATGAAGAGAAACATTCAGAGGCGATAGTGGTGTTATCATACCTAGAGTGAGGAGGCTGTTGAATTTGTCTAAAAAACTATCTCTAACTTGTCCTTATGACCAGAGTTTTCCCTGCTTTTAAATATTTTTATGACTAAAAGGTATATACATGTGTGCTCTTATAGATTATAGCAATTAGATTCACACAAAATACACTGTGAGCTTCAATGACATGCCAAACAACTGCCACATTGACTCCTATGTACACAGTATTAGAAGAAGCAGCTTTATTTATTGTCATTGTGACATGTACAACACAATTATGGTTGAAGGCGAGGGCCCCAGGCTACTGCATGCATACGTGCTGCCATCACGAGGAACAGGGAACTTCAGTGTCTTGCCCAAGGACACTTTGACATGTGGATTGCCAACACCGAGATTTGAACCTTCAGCCTTCTGGTTCAGAGACAACTGCTCTACCCACCACACCACTGTCGCCTCCCTTAGCCTGGCTATTAAAGGTTATTAAACTATGGTATTGAACTCAAGTAAAATATTGAGCCACCACTGATTTGCAAAAGTATATTTTAAAGTATTCCTGTTGCAGTAAGCTACAATTTCACACATGGATACTTGGTCCATGTCAGGTTTGCTCGGCCGCTCTGGCCTCCCTCACCTTTCCTACTGTCTCTTGCCCATTAACACTAATCACGTTCACCTGTTCCTCACTCCCTTATCACCAGCTGCACTTGATTAGGTTGCTCACTATATTACCCGGTTTCACTCCTCAGTCACTTGCCAGTTCGTTCTTGTCTCTAGGCCATTTTTTCTCTGTGCTGTCTCGTTTTTTTTGTATATTATTATTATTCCCTAGCCAGCTACTGTTTTGTGTTCTCCCCATGGACTGTTCCTCCGGACCGTGGCTCCACTCTCCCCTCCCAGGCAGGTCAATGCTCAGTCGCCTATCTGTTCTACTATTGTCATCATCACTCTGTCTCCACCTTCAGTAGCCACCATCACCACCGACCGGCCCAGCTCTCCATCTCCTCACCACCTACTGTTGATCAACCTCTCATCACTGTATATAATAAATCACTGCTTGCACCGAAGTCGGCTACCTGGGTCCGCCTCTTTCTCGTTCGCTCACTGACAGGTGCGAACGGCACATAACAGTCCATCCTGATTTCAAGAAGATAAGACAGGAGGAAGAGACAATAAACTGTTAAAATCTGATACTGGAGCTGAAGACCTGTGTTTTTAATATTGTTTTATATTGTGATTGCTGTAAAGAAAATGCCCTGTTTGAATGATTACTACTACATTAAAACAGCATTTGTAAAACAGCGCAATTAATTATCACTAGAAATGCAGTATATATGCACATTTCTCTTTAAGCACTGTACCTTGTGTGTTGTATACTTTAAGCATGTCACACATTCTCTGTCATATATAGTAGAGGGTTATTCTCCACAAACATACTTATGGAACCTAGAGCAGCATGAGACCAAAAGAACAGGTCAAGCACAGTATCTAAGCTGGTTGCTCTCATTTGCACATATTTGATCCCATGACAGGATACCCCTTGTGATGAAATAAGCACTGATCCAGGTATCATATGAATGCCTATTTATATCCTGAGCTTTGAAGTTATGCTTGGTCACAGGGGGTGGTGGTAGTATAAAGGAGAAAATAACTGGTATGTGACCAGAGGTTTCTGACTGAAGTACATGAATGGACAGATATATTGTTGACAGGGCATCAAGCTCTAGGGTACTTTCATGTTTTTCTCTTGTGAAAATTCAAATTCTACCATTAAAGCTTCTCATGTGAGGTCATATTTTTAAACTCAGTTGTAGTTGGTGTCTTCAGACACTTGCAACAACAGCAATAACCTTTTACAGGCTGATTAAAACTGATGCCACACTTCTTCAAGTATCAGGCACATACAGATTTTCCATCTAAGGGACAGCTTACTGTGGCCCTGGTGAAATGGTGGAAGGAAATCTCCCAGCAGTGTATCATCATATAAATGTGACTAATTTTAGCCTAATTCTACACCTGAAGCCACCTGAACCTCAGGAAGTGCTCTTAAGTAGTCTCAAATTTGATTTTAAATAAATAATAATAATGACTTGAGCAGCTTTTAACTATTTTACTTTCACATCACGATGTTTGTGCACAGATTTTATACAAGACATAAGTCTTATGCTTATTATGCTGTAAAGGTTTATTGCAGGTTCTGCTGGTTTACAGATTGGCAGGCTGGCAGGTTTGCATGGTCAAGCCAAAGGAAACTGAATTGTCTGCTCTGTTAATAACAAATGGCATCCAGTGTGATTTAAATTAAAGCCAGGATGAGTTAAGCTGCAAAATATTGCCAAATTGGAAAACACTAACTCAGCCGTGGCTGCTCTTCCATTACAACACTTCAAATAAGGTACTGATGTTTTTATGGAGAGTGGTTTGAAAGCTGCCTTTTCCCTCTGTTCATGCACAGGGTTCATTTAAGATATCAACAGTGCAGAGGCTGCCTAAAGCAACTTGGTATGCATAAAACAACCAAAGGATTATAAAATATGATTATAAATCTTTACAAGTCTCATTTTTGACATGATGTCATTGTTATATCTCATGGTAAAATGCTGAAACTGGTGCAGTTACATTTGATAAATGACATTTTGATAATAAGGATTTGTTGAAATGTTTCACATGTGAATAAAAAACCCCCAAAAAACTATGTGTTATCATGTGTTTGGTAACCTAACTTAAGCTAAAGATGACAGAACAGCCATTTATAAAGTAATTAAGTAATGTAATATCTTATATGCCACTTTGGTTAACAAAAGTGTTCTGCTTCGACTGAAGAGAAAATATTTTTTTTGCAAACCAAATGTGCAAAAAGAGGAAATGCTTAATTAAATCCACACAGTTTACAGGATACTGGCAAAATGTCACAATTTCCAAAGTGTTAAAATAGTTTAAAAGTGCAACCTCATTATTAGATGTGAATTACTCCACAACTTTAAACAATACTTGCCTTTAGCAAGACCAAAAACTCTACGTTATAAGACCTTATTTAATTCTTATTTAAGATAAAGTGGACCTTAACCAAAAACATATAACAAATTGTTTGATGGTAAATATGCTCAATGCTGAAAAGTGTGTGAAACAGTGTTTGTGCAAGAGGTAACTGCACCTGGAAACAGTTCTGTAAATGAATCTTCTGAGATATTGTACAACCTGTGTTGATCTTAAAAGGTGCTGTAACCCAGAGGTTACTGGGAGTTACAGGTTTATCAACATCAGATACTCTTGCTAAGGAAACCCCAGTGGTGTTGGTATCATGCTGTTTTGGAAGTTGAGCTGTTTGCCCAAGTACTCAAATGGTGACCAGTGAGTCACAGTAGTGAATAGGCCTCATGACTCCCTGGACTGGAATCGGAGCTGCTCAGTAGTGCTGGTGAAAGCAATGTGATTCCAAGGTGAGCTGTTGATGGCTAATATCCTCTGACTGCCTCCATCACCTGGTTGTGACAGCAGAATATGAATGAATGTACTGGAACCTATCTTAGAGCCTACTGTAAGAAACACTCTGCTGAGCTCTTTGGTGCTTATGACTGTCACAGTTTAACACAAAGGTGTCCGTGTACTATATTGTTAAATGAGAAACAAATGAATGGGAGCCCTTTGTACATTAATTAGAGTGGATGTACCCTGTCCCGTAAAAGATGATGAGAGTTGATGACACCAGGGAACTGATTCATGATAGAGAAATCATTAAAAAATAATTTATTTATGAGTTGGTCAGTTAATCAGATAAACTCCTAATTAGTTGTTGACCAGAATCAGAATCATCTTTATTTGCCAAGTATGTTGAACACACAAGGAATTTGACTCTCAATGTGCTCTTTTAAGTCAACCAGAAAAAAGTGCATTTAAATAAAATAAAATGAAATTAAAGACAAAAACAACATACAAACTGTACATTCTTCCTGAGTCATTATCTCAGTGTTTCATGCATTAGTTACCCCTTTTACAGAGGACTATCCTACTCATGGGATAGCATCAGGGATAGGGGGTTAAAGCACTGATGAATGCTGCCTTTTGAGCAGTGCTGTGCAAGGTTATTATTATAACCAGGGGTGCATCCGCATCTGTTCCAAGGCAGCTTGCTCCTTAGGCTTTAGAGGCAAACACTTATTCAAGATATCCTGGCAGTATGAGAAGAGAGAGGTCAACAGCAAAGCAAGCATAAGGGTGGAAGCTGCAGTGTTGTGTTGGAACATGGCAGGAACAGGATCTGTACATTATTAGTACAAAACATCAGGTGGAGTAGCAGCACCAGCATTGTCTTACCTTGGAACAGCTCACTGTTAAATTCACTTCTGTTGTGGAGGAACTCAGTGTTGGTAAACTGTTCGTATCCATTCAGCATGTCATAGAGCATTGCGCTCAGCTGCCAGACTGTGGTGGGAGCAACCCTGTATGTCTTACCTATGTGCAACTCAGGGGGAACAGATGTTCCTACAATGCAAAGAAAAGAAGTAAATGATGAGGAGCAGCCTAAGGTTAAAATGAAAGTCATCACTCTAGAGATTAACTGATGAATGAACAGCAGGAGCAGAAGCCAAACAATGTAGCAGAGAAGCAGTAAGGTCTCTTCTGGGCAAGGCAGTCACATCTAAAGTCTATGACCTGCACTTGAGGGACAAGTCAGAATGTGTTCTGATTTGATGTCACAATGAAAAACTTAGGAGTGCATATTAAAGGTTACCTCCACCTGCTGTTTCATGATGATCTGAAAAAGCCATGTTGACTCATTCACCATCCAATAACAAAGCCATTAATTACAACATAGAAACCCTGTGTAGAGAGTGGATTGCTAGAGAGTGGTTCCCAAATAGGGAAACAATGTGAATTTTTAGCTTTAGATTAAACCTAATGAAATAAGCTGTGGGTGTGATAGAAGCCAACAATTCTCTACCTACAGTAAATGGACAGAAAAGAAAAATATCACGTTCTGGATCAGCTTGAGTATCCACCTGTTCCCACACAGAAACAAGCTCCAACAGTCTTATTTTGTCAAACTACAGTTTCCAAAGCAAAACCTTTATGTTGAATTTGATGTTGAACACACTGACATGTCCTCATTTGTCACGAGTCATAGCTGAAATTCTATGTAAATCCCCAACTTTGGTTTTCTACTTACAGTTAGCTTTCAGTCTTAAATAGAAGAGCTTGCGTTTTGGGAAATATTATTTCTTCCTGACATTTACATGAGAAAACTAATACCACTAACAGCTCTGTACACTGTAGTTTGACAGGAGGTTATGTGTTGGATCAGCAGGGTAGTGGCAGTATGTGGTCACATACAAGCAGCAGCTCAGTCACTTTATGTCATTCTGTCAGCTTATCTAACTTGGTTTTCACCAAGGGGCGTGCTCTCCCATTTTGATGTCTGGAGGCCGAGGGGCTGCTCAACCTTTGGGAGCACTCACAGCTGCTGTCCATCTTTGTTGTCCTGGGGGTCTCTGCTGCTCTGCTGCTCTCCTTCACTCCCAGCCCCCCTCCACTGGTACCTGGGTGGGCTCACTGGTGTTGGTGCTGGTGTTAATGACATTGTTTAATATTATGAAGTAGACCGACTCCCCCTACTTTCATCCCCCCCCCCCTAAGGTTTGTTCTAAGGTTAGTGGGGACTGTCTCCCCAGGAACTATGAGCTGATCCCCTAATCTACTTTCAATTGCCTTTAGCTGGCCTGCATCCTGCCTGTTCAAAATGACATGCTTCTTGCCTTTTTCACCCTCATGAACAAACTAAATCCCCTCTTGTTTCTTCTTCCCCTCCACTGAGTTTACCTCTAAGCACCTACTTTCAATAGGTGCTGCTAAACATTTCAACACTTGCTTATGTCTCCAGGTGTTTCATCCTTGAACCAGGCTCATTTCACCCTCTGAGAGGATGTGCCAAAGTGAAGCCACACCTGAACACAAAGGACGTGTTGGGTCCTATCCATCTGTTCAGATTTTGGGGAGACGGAACCACATCATAAGTTGCACCTAGAATGAATCTAATCCTTCCTGCCTCCATGTCTCATATTTCTCTCCAACTATATTTCTTCCTTTCTACATCTTCCCATCTCATACACTGTCCCTGCTGAGCCTGGGAGACTGCCTTTGCACAACTACCTGCCTCTTCTTGCCTCCTGATCTCCCAACCATAACTGCGTAGCCATCATTATAATAAAACTGTGTGGTGAGGATGTGTATTCCTCAGCCTTAGTGTAATGAAGCAACAAAATAAAATGGAGGAAACCCACAAACTGCTATGACCTCCAGGAAACATACAATAACCCCTTCAAACAGGGTCAAAGGTATCAGAAAGGCATCAAGAAGGAAAAGGCTAAATGTTTGTTTTCCTCCAAAACTGTGCTTCTGTGAGTGAGCACTGAGCTGTTCAAACAGAGCTGCAACCCAGTTAAGACCTTTTGTCATTTTTTTAAATACACCTATGAACATAACAACATAGAGGGTTAGAAACAAACGTAGAGCCCCATTTTTAAAAGCTGGCTGAGCCTGCAACACTGCCTCTTTCGGGTTCCACTTCCTCCCTGCTGAGACTGTTGGTGCTGCACTCTGCACAATTCTGACAGTTCTCTCCAGTCTAGCCTTAGCACACTTAAACGCCTCTGTTAAACTGGTTATAGGGAGCTCCAAAATCCCTTTTCCGTACAGGGCCACACTGCCGAGGCAGCACGAAGCACCCAGCCGCTTCCTAATATACACACTAAACATCCTCTTTCTATGAAAAAACCTGGTATTCCGGCTTTCTGCACTGACAACCTTTGGGCCACTTCACTGAAGAAAATCTTGCCTCCTACATTCAGAAGGCAAATAGGCCTAAACTGCCCTACTTCAATTGAAACTTTCTCCTTGGGGATAAAAATCCTTGCTGCTCTTCTCCATGACTTAGGAATGAGCTGCTTCTTCCATGCTACTCTGATAAGCCACCACAACAATCCTCAACATGCCTGGAGTGTACTTATATATCTTATAGGCCGCGACAGTCTATCACAGGGCTGACACTTGGATACAGACAACCATACACACTCACTCCTATGGGCAATTTTGAGTCCACACAGAAAGGCCCTGGGTTTGAACCCAGAACTTTCTTGCTGTGATGTGACAGCACAAACCACTGCGTCACCATGCCGCCCCCTGTATTATTCATTTTTACACTAAATAAACAATTTGATTTGTAATCATGTATGGTTTATTATTTCATAGAACTAGGGGTTTTATTTACTTTTTTACAAGTATTTCAAATGTGCCACCCCTGTCTGAGTGTGTGCCCCAGCCTGGCCACCCAGTCAAAAGTTTCCTAAATCTGCCCCTGGAAAACCAAGCCAGGAAATGCATCAGCACTACATTCTGGGGTTTCAACAATTACACTACCAGGTATGTAATGGTTGCGCATGTGTGTTTGCCAAGATAACTTCCCCATACTGACTCAAGGGGGTGGAGTAGAGTTAAAGGGATAGAGAAGTGACCAGAGGTTGCACTAGCTGAAAGCGGTGCATTTATTTCTCAGTGGCAGGCAAACAAGTCCCAGCATACAGGGAATAAATATTTTTGGCTGGATAAATTTGGTTCCCCTGGTTGAAAAGGCCAACATTTGCAACAGCCTCTGCAGTGTGAACACACTTTCAGCTCAGTTGGAGGACCTCAAGTTGCTACAGACTAATTATTAATTAAATATGTAGCACAGGTGTGGACCTACGCCCTCTCCTGCCTTTGATATTTAAACGAGGGCCAGCAACAGATTGTCAGGATTAGTATATGTTAGGCGTTAACATGAAGGTCCCAGAGAAGGAGTTAATGAGCGATGTTTTGAAGCGTTTGACAGGCGAGTCCGCGCTCCCTGTGTACTGCAACATTGCCAAGTTCAAGCGAGCCAAGAACGGCTTATACTTTATTGCCGAAGACTTCAACGAAACCGTGAAAAAAAGAGAGTTGGTTAATGCTAAGGAACGACAGAGAGTGAGTGTTCACTGAATTCAACAAAGTATGGACGACGAACAAATGTTTTGGCAGGAGGGTACTCCACTAACTGCGTTTCAGTTGTTTTAGCTAGTGCTAAACTTAGCTAATATTAGCTAGCTCTTAATAGGATAAGACCCTGTCTTCTCTTAAACATTTTGCTGTAGTTTACGGTTTTGAAAGGCTGTTCAGGAATCTGTCATTTCACCACAGTAACATTTCAACTCCACGCTAATGCTAACCAGCTAGTCGCATTATTCGGGGCTCAGCGTTTTCTAGTTTTTATTTTTCATTTTTTATGGGCTACATATATCGAATTAGCTATTTTGACAAAACAAGCCTTATATCATGCTTTAGGAGTTATGTTTATAGCAGTATAAATGACCTCCTGAATTTCAAGGTTTGTAAATACACTTTGGCATTAGGCATGATAAAGCAATGTGGATTTAAACGTGGAGATTATGTAATGCATAGAAATAGTTTATCATGAGCTAAAAAAGGTTTCCTTCCATTCCCGTGTCACCCCTGTCTGGAAAATATTAAGCTTAATTATAATAGCATTGTTACTGCTTTGTAGTCCTAATGACACTGGCATGGACAATTTTGTAAAGTTTAACATTCACTTGGATACAGTTTGCAAGTTGTGCTGCACTGAAAATGCACACCTCACAGTATAATCAAATGTGGGCAAAAGGGACACCTTTGAGGCCTTCTGCATGACCTTACACTGCTGCCAGTCAGTGATGAAATCATGACAGATGTTTACTGTAGGAAATCGTTAGATATGCTTGTATTCATCTACTTCAAATTATTTTAGTTAAATGACATTAGAAATTATTTGACATTGACTTACTGAGTCTGCAATGTAATTATTTTGAAGCTTCAGCCTATTTCCTCTGCAGATCAGAAACTTGAACACCATGTTCTCCCGCTTGAAGCGCATGGTACCACTTATGCATCCGGATAGAAAACCCAGCAAAGTGGACACCCTCAAAGCTGCGACGGAATACATTCGATTGCTTGTTGCAGTTTTGCAGGACACTAACTGTGTAAGCACTGCAGTCATTATGGCTTTATCAAATGAAGTATATCCTCTGTTGTTTTCCAGGAACTGTGCTGCCATTTATTTTGAAATGCTGATTGGTGTTGTCTGTTTCTCAGGATGAAGGCAGTGGGACTGATTTCCTAAAGAATGCAATCGCTTATAGTCAGACTGAAGTTATGGGCAATGACCTATGGAGCGTGGATGACGTAAGTGTCATCTTTCTTCCCCATTGTGCCAAACATTCATTGGAACAAATTCACATTTAATGTGTGCAAGTGGGATTATTGCATGGGTGGCACAGAAGCCTTTGTATACTAGTGGGTGTACTATAGTGGCTTTAGGAAAGACCTCTAAGAATGCACCTGTAATATTAAACAGTGGACAGCAGCTCTGTGTTAAAGCATCTACAAAATGCCATGAATATTATGAAAATGAAATTACTGGTAATACACAGTGCTGTTTTTATGTTTCCCTTCAGCTGTACTCCTGCTCATACAGTAGGGTTTAAAATGAAACAAAGGCTATTAGGTTTATGGGCAAACTTCAGGCCTTAAGGGTGTTTGAGAGCCTTTGCATCCATATTCACTCAGCAGTGTAACACTCAGAACACATTTATCATGCAACACAGCAGGACAGTGACTACATTATACAGACAGGGCCACTATGGAGCCTGTTCGGGTCAAACAATGAAATGTTACCAAGTAAAAGGCCTAGAATTCCCACGTGGCTCAGCTAATGAGAATAAAAATGTTTTTGAATTAAAGTTGTCAGCACTTTAAAGAAAATGTTATTAATACAGATCAGTGCAATTCAAAGTGCTTTACAGATGACTGACTGCATGATAAAGACAGTTCAAATTCAAATGGTAAAACATTTTGTTACTAATGGAGCACAAAGGTAAATATGTCAAAATAAAAAGTAACATGAATACAACTAAATTTATCTTGAAATTGGAAATTAAAAGCCAAACCAAAGAGGCAGGAGGCATGTTTTATTTTACATTTATCCTGCACTATGGAACAACTAAGACTTGTCTGCACACCCTGCTGTGAACTGCAGTTTAAAGGAAACAAAGCCTTATGTTGGTATATTGTTTAACAAAATAAACAGTATAAACAAGCAATAAACAACGCAAAATATAGGAAATGAACAGGCAATAAGTAATGCAAACAAACAAAGGAATGTTCATTAGGAAATGAGATACTTAAAAATAAAGACCTATATGGATCTGTATAATCTGTACAGTGTATAGAAAGAAAGTCGCTTTCGGCTTTTCCCGTTTAGGGGTCACCACAGCGAATCGTCACACTAACGACTTGCATGTTGACATTTGGCACGTGTTTTACGCCGGATGCCCTTCTTGACGCAACCCTGATTCGAACCCGGGCCGCAGCGGCGAGAGCGCTGCGCCTTAACCACTAGCCTACCGTGGACGGTCTGTACATTCTATATTTACCGTTATTTCACTGGGGGAAGGTATTACACTGAGGGTTATTGTCCAGTCATATTGTTGTGGGTTAAGTATTTATCAGTGACGGCTCAGTGGAAAGAAACTGTCCTTGTCGCCCTGACATCTGTAGTCAAGACAACCAGGCACAAGTCTGTAGTTGTTCAGTCCACTGATGGAGGTTTTCTTTAGGACTGGGATGATGATGATGACTAGAAGGATTTCATCCATCTTGTTGCCTAGGGAGCATAGATTTGCTAGGTGGCTAGACGGGAGTGGAGTCCACGTTATTCTTTGGCGAAGTCTGACTAAAGTGCCCGCTTGCATACCAGATATGCGTTTTTTCCAGGTCCCGTAGATTGCAGCTACCCCTCCGATCAGAATGTCCATACAGCATTCTTCATTCAGAAAAATCAGAGAAAGGTAGTTCGGTGTGAGTTGTCTGATATTTAACAGTTCTTCTCTGGTAAAAGTCATCTGGGATGGGTTGCAAGAGACAGAGAAAACAAAGAAAAACAACAAACACAAGAGAGCTTGTGTGACCAAGGCTGCCATCGATGTCTGCGCCATCTTATACAGCTAGCTATGACAGAATTGTTTCATGTGTTTAATGCAGTCATAACCTTTTCTTCATAGTAATGATGTCCTCCATGTTGGGTTTGTATCATACATTATGACAGACTTCTTGGTGTATTCACTTTGCATCTGAGAGCTGGGGTGTGTGATAAGTGGGCCAACCGTAATACGCAGCCAAAACTGGCTAGTTGACTTTCCCACTAACCCCTTGCCGTCTGCTACACTAGGCAGCGTCTTCAGATCTCTGTCCCACTCCTGCAGCCCGGCTCCCTGCTTCTCCTCTGCTGATTCTGCTCCTGCTGCGGGCACAGCTAGCATCAAATAACTTAATTTCCTGCATTTAGATGCTTTGCACTGCAGTGCTTTGAAACCATGGTGTTTCTCCTAACACTTTGTTTTCATGCTGTGACCTGCAACGTGTTCCTGATTCATCCTCACATACAATGTAAAAAGTAGATAATGTAATAATTGGCAGTAGCACGTTGTCTCAAATACAAATGGATATTGAAGCTTTTACTACTGTAAAATGTATTGGCACTGTAATGTTGGAGATGGAGCTGCCAGGCAAGAGGTCAACAGGAAGGCCAAAGAGGAGATAGATGGATGTGCTAAAAGAGGACATGAAGTTAGTTGGGGCGAGAGTAGAGGATGCTGATGATAGTTAGGTGGAAACAGATGATTTGCTGTGGCGACCCCTAACGGGAACAGCCGGAAGAAGAAGAAAATGTATTAGCACTGTACAGTGATACTTCATCTGCCTTAACTGCGACAGTCATGAATTCATTTTTCATGCTAAAAGTATTTGATACTAAAGTATATGAAAATGTATGCCATTTGACATATTGTGCTTTTTCCTGACAGTTCCTGAACATGTCAGAAGAGCATGTGGAAGATGGGTTCACCATGCCCACAGAGCCGGTAGCAGAGGACGGAGATATGACCAGAATGTTACTGCAACGCTGCATGATGCCTGCATACCAGTTCATCATCCAAGTAGCACCTGATCAGACTTCGGTAACTTACCTAATGTGAAAGTAATGCCTGCTGTTTGCCAGCTACCCTCAGCTGCATTTCGGATGCTGCCCAGGGAGCTGTGCAACAGTTTTTACAGCTCATTTTTGTTAGGAATCATTATTATGCAAACAGTTTCCCACTCAGCGCTTTAGACAAAGAGAAAAACCTCCTTCATTACCAAGGAAGAGAAACTTAATAGACGTATCATGGCTCTGCTTTTTTTATCTCAAGGTTTTTGTACTTTTTGTTTCATCAGGCTGACAGTTCATTTGTTACAGCATGAATTATGCAGCTTATCATGAAGACGTGACACTGTTAATAGGAACTTAAAATTCATTTAAAATTATTTGTCTATAAAATGATGGAAGTGACTCTACTTCCATCATTTTAGTTCAGTTTTATCTGTGTCATGCACACAAGTGCCCAGCTTCATGAGCTTACAAGACAGCACAAGTACTATGAAACAATTATCAGACTTGAAGAGAGGAGCATAGTAATATTCTTATAATACAGGGGTGCCCAAACATTTTCAGCTGAAGACCCAAAAGAGAAATTTGGTCCATCTCTGAGACCCAAACTTAAAAAATAAATCACTATTTGCTATAGCATCTACAGTGGTAAACAGATAATGATCACAACAAGCCCTTAGTTTAAAGTGTAGCCTATGTGAGATGTATTTATTTCATTATAAAAGTACATCAGCGCATTAATCACTGGACTGACATCCAGTTATATTCATTACATTCAGAACAAACAGTGCAACCTTAACATAGGCTACATGTGTGGTGTAATATGCAACATATTTGCCATTTGCTTTATTTCATGTGATGCAAATAACCTTTGAAGACTAGTCCAGTCTGATCATATGCATTGATGCACATTACTACGACTTACTACAGTCACTCATTCATCTGTCACCTCTCTGTAATATAGAAACAATGGTATTGTGATGAATAGTGGTATGACAACAGTTTTTAATATTTTATCCACACCCATCAACCCTACATCGCAGTAGTATGTAATTAATATTTCATGAGAAACAAAAAACACAACAGTAAGACCGCATGAATTAGAAGGTGCCACTTCAAATATAATGTATAAAACAAACATTGAAAAGAACATTTTGTGATAAACCCCATTGAGACTGCATTACAGAAGTGGTGATTTTTGATGCCACAGTCTGGAGTTTTATTATTATTGTATATAGCCCATCTTAGTGCATACACTAGGAGAGTCAAAATAATGCAGTAATGCCCAATAGAAAAAGTGAAAATAAAACTGCTTCTTCCCCACCGCTGACCAGCCATGTGGTGCAGTGGTCAGATGCTTTGAATCTGTATCCATGAACATTATGCAGCCTCCTGTCTTACAGAGGAGAAATGGATAAAACCAGTTCTGATGCAAGTGGCATTTCATGAAATTAAGAAGTCTTATGTGAGCATCTGTATTTAAATGATTTCCAACCAGTTCACCTTTTATAAAACATTTAAGTACACTTTTTTTTTTAATTTTCAGTCAATACATTTATGTGATGGAGTAAATGTCACAGAATTTCTTATAGCTACTGGAGAAAGCCTTCTTTCCTAACATTGCTGTTTGGCTTTAAATGTTTCCCCCAGGCTTTTTATGACTGTTTGCATTGAGTCAAATCAATTATTTATGTTCTGTTCATTAAGAGCACACTTCATTGCATGATTCAGTTAATAAACAAAGCGAATGCAGTTGTAGATAAATGGTGTAACCTTTCGAACACAAGACAGGCAGCGTTCATATTCAGTTCCAGAGAGACGAACTCTTCAAACAATAAGCAATCAGACGCATTTAATTCCTGAAATGATCTGGCTGGAATACACTGCAATTACAACTGACAATCAACACAAAGCATTTGATTGTCTTTAGTGTGGCACTAAAATTTGACCAAACTGTCCCCATGAGCACCTCGCCATCTGATTGGATAATTAAAGGTGAAGAGGTTTGGATCAAGACATGACTGTTTTCATACGTCCCATGCTTGTGCCATTATGCATAGATTTGGTGTCGTGTGCATCTGTATCGTTCTGCTCATTTGAACTCGTTAAATTTGAAACTGTAATTCCTGAGTTCATGCATGTCCATAGTACCATTGAAAAGAGTTTAATTTTGTGTTTCAGTGTTTTTGTTTGTTTGTTTTTTAAACTCCTGCTGCTATTACAGCTTAAACACAGGAAAATATAGATGTTCTGCATACGTCTCTTCATATTTCAAATACAGCAAGGCAGTTGGAGCCCATGCTCGAAGACTGAAATTCACATTCTCACTCCTTCAACATGTCTGTGTGTAGTAAATTTTAGGTTTACTGACAGACTTGGCTGAGTAGATCTGACATTTTAGGTGGTAGAGAGATTCTGATTGTTTTGCTTCCTAGTGTACTGATGTCAGCAACAGTAAACATTAATCAAACCATTTGCCAGTTGCTTGAATTAATCTGCACTGATTTTGTTTTGAAGGTCTAGAATACCCCATGGAAAGATAACTGGAGTTTCATCTTCCTGTTATTGTAACTTTGATTTAGACATAAATAAGCTGATTTATTCACTGAACTTATCCTCTTCAAAATGAGCTCAGAGTCCATGGGTGTTTGTTTTTGACCTACAAATGTTTACTATAAAGAGACGAGATGGCCACAAGGTGCAAAGTGTTTGTCATATGCACAGTAAAGAAATGTTTCCCTGTACAATGAAATTCTTACTAAGGTAGATGTTAACTGTTTTCTGCTGCAACACTATCGTTCCTGTCCTTAATTCCTATCCAGAATGCCCAGCGCAGTCCTAATGAGGAGTCTAAGCATTCAAACGAGACCTGGAATGGCATGAATATATTCACGTAGGGGGGGGATATATATGAAAACCATTAATTCATGATTTACACAAACGTTGTTAGACTGAGTTAAACCTCTTTGTGCACACTACAATGTATCTAAGGTGAACACTTGTTTTAGGGAGACCTAACTGAAAAATGTTTTCCTGGTTGTACTGTATGTGGTGCTGCTTCTGAATGCTTTTAGTTCCACGAAGACTCGCCTGTAAGTTTCTCAGCACTTGTCACCATGTTTTTCATTCACCAGATGCCTCAACTCTGCTGAGTGGTGTTCAGAGTAGATGGCTTGGACCAACGCTGGAAACATGCCAGGTTGGAATTGTTTTAATAAAGCTTACATTATGTGAAGTGTTATCATTTAAACATCATGTTTATTGCTTTGCTTACACTTAGTGATATTTCATTGTAGTAATAGCAGTAAGTACTAAACCCAAATATGAACATTAATACTCTGTGCATTTGTTGCCCTCATCTGGTCTAAATTATCATTGCCACTTTGGAAAAACAAATCTCTTGACAGTTTGTACAAAACGACCATAGGCCTTTTTCACAGAAGACATTTTGATACAGGCGACTTAATTCACTTTTCTCAACCAGAGCAAATGCTAGTATTGACCTACTCATAATTTAACTATGTATGGATTTATTGTGAAAAACTGGTCCTGTATTTATCAAGCATCACAGAGTAGGAAATCACTCCAAACTGTCCAAAAATTCTCAGAATGATGCATTTTTGGTCCTACCTTTAGGAATAGAAGTCGGTGATTTATCAACATTGTTATCTTAGGAAATCACTCCTATCTCCACCAAAATGTAGGACAGCTCCAGAGGTGTCCTAACTGGGTAGGAGCTGCCAGGAGGCAGCGTTCAGACAGAGATAAGCGCACAGACTCAGGAGGAGAGGAGTTTTACTTGCACTTAATGAGCTTGTTAAAAAATAGCTTGGTCATAAATGGAATGGTTTTTGTGACGGCGCTTGTGCAAGATGCAGCTGCTCCAACAAAAGGAAGCACACATGCTATCTTCACTGAAACTGTAGTTATTGCATCTTTAGGCTACACATTTTATTGTGCAGCAGCAGTGATGATTTGAGTCTAAGCCGACAGTCTTGGCTGTAATAAATGAGACGTCGATCGCTCTTGTAGCTCCACTGGTGATGTAATGTTTTGTTTGTTTCTACACCATTTCATGTTAATCATTGAGAAACCAGCTACAAATATGCAGCTCACCGGTTTCCTTTGACATGCTAGAGTCGTCGATGGCACACACATCAAAATAATCACTGCGAGCACCAACGAACGTGCTTCTGTTTGTGAAAATGTTATCCCAGCATTAACATGTAGGTGGTTGTCAACTACGTGGTCCTTGATTTACTCGATTTAGTGGCCAAATGGATCCACACACGACTCAAGTGACGGTGAAAGTGGATTGAAACTTTGAAAATAGTTGTTCCCTAAATGCACATATTCATTATAGGGAATTGGAAAAAAAAATCAGGCTGATAAAGATAACTTCACACCGTTGAGTCACATTGAGTGGCTTTCCAGTAAATGTTCAGCCTGTTACAGAAAGAGAATTGATATATATAGCACATTACTGCAACGTATAATGAACGTGTTATTTTCCATTAACAGCTTTTTGTCTATACACATAAAGCCTTCACTTGACAAGTGGCACTGATATTGGCATTTCCATTTCACACTGTCTAAAGCTGCAAACACAGACTGTCTCAAAAAACTACAACACATCAGTATCATGTCACTTTTGTGGTTCTGAGTTTTGTAAAACAACGTCACAATCATTCTTAGGAATAGGATTTCTCCTTGCTCAAAGTGAGAGTAGGACACTTCATAAATAACTTCAGTCCTATTCTGAGGTAGGAGTTTTTCAAATCCTAAGTCAGCTTTCAGTGTGCTACCTAGGAGTGATTCTGAGATGCTTGGTAATTACAGGCCCTGGTATCATCCTGGCTCCACTGCACTTAGGCCCAGTAAACTGTCTTGGATGCTTTCAGTTATTATGGCTTGTTCAGCCTCTGCTCAAGTTGAAATAAGGTGTGACTGAAAGTGTTCTGAAGTCACCGAACTCTTGCACATAGAAGTATTTAGCCTGCTTTGACTTATTCCTGCTTAACTGTTTAACAACACCTGAGCACACTGAAGACACGCTGCCCTCTTGTGGTTAAACATTCATGACTGCTTTCAGCATCACTGTTGGGTGTGATCTGTAGTTTGCTCTGTAGCCATTTCTTACACACTAAACATACCAATATCAGTGCATTATTCTAAGTAGGGAGTGGTTTCACAGCCCCTGTTTTCCAGTATGGCACCCCCTTATTAGGGATGACATTTCTATCAACTGGTCACAGAAGGTAGACGTTATTGTTGAAATACACTGTGATCTTAGAATTCTGATCTGTTTAGGGAGCTGTTGCTTTGAAGAAAGGATTCTTCTTGAAGAAATTAAATTTTTCTTTTGGATTGTAAATGTTAAGATTTTGTTTATAAATGTATTTTCATTTCACAAACTGTATCCTTGGCAATCTAAATAAATTCAGGAAGCAGCATCCGTTTTTGTGGTTTCTATGAAGTGGTTTATTAAGGCATGTGCCAATATTTTTTTTTTGCTGCAGTAGAAAAAGATTTTTTTTAAATTGCATAAAAACATTAATACCACAGTATCCCGTGATACTCCATCACCAAGAAAAGTCCTTAATATTTACAAAGGTAAAATAAGTCCAATATGTTCAATCAGATATAGTTTAGGTATGAAAGATCTGGTTTTTGCAGAAAGTGTTGAGGCTGGCAACAGCAGGGACCCTAATGCAGACTAGAGCACTCAAAACCTAAAGGCTCAAACCTGACAATATACCATCGACAAGGATACAGGAAAAACAACAGTCAGGGAGGGGGACCTGATGAAACAAGGACCTTAACAGAACTAACAAAAATCACAAGCCAAAAACAGGAAGGAGTGAAACCTGAGTCCATATGAACCAAGTTCAAAATCAAGGATGAAGCACGAGAGGTGAGTAACTGGTCTGAGAAGCAGGAGCAAATGTGGAGAAGAGCACAAGACAAACCGGCAAACCCTACTGAGGAAGGTGAGGTGATTTATAAAAGCTGAGCTAATAGGTGTACACCATGAGTGGCAAATGGTGGCTGGGTCGAGCTGGGGACGGTGAACAAGCGACAAACGGGAAGTGACTTCAGAATAAGAGTACAAGATGGGAAGTAGGGCAAAGCTACGACAGAAAGCCTCTTCCAGACTTTTGGATAGATGCATAGTACTGAATTAGAATCACTGAACATTAATAAGTAAGCAGTATTTTTATACTGTACCTGGTAGAGGCGGCCCTTATTCTGCTGTGGTGTTGAATCCCCTCATCTACAGCAGTAGTGCAGGTTTCACAAGTGAATTCTATAAGCAAAGTAGTAACTACAGCTGTCACATGTGCAGAGTAAACTTTTATTTTGTATGTTTCTTTCATCAAAATACCACCTTTATCAGTGCAAAGTGGCAAAAAATGGTAGACTCAAGTAAATTACCAGTACCTCCCATTTGCATTTAAGAACTATTAGTACCTGGTCAACAACACTGCTTGTCTCTCGGCTGCAATGTGACAAAACCATCTAAACAGTTTGAAACCACCATAATCCAGTGCGCAGGTTCTTCGCCATTATAAAATAAGGTGGCGCCTCTTTGGTGGGATGCATTTTGACCGATTTGATCTGGGCCTAGCTAAATAAACAGTGCTTTATCACATAGCACTGGAAACCGACCAGAGCTGTGTGTAGATGCACGAACGCAATAACCAAGCGCACTGCAAAAGATTGCTTGGTGGAGCTGTAGGAGTGGGGACCTCTGGCTGTCAGACTGAGGGCAGGCGTGGCAGTGGGATGGTCCAGGCGCGCAGAGCGATGAAAAACATCAGGGACCATCAGCTGAGGCCCTGAAATAGTCCGACAAAGGAGCTCTGTTCCCAATCCTGCAAACACTGGTAATTAACCACATCTCCTGATTCTGAGGACGGCTGTGGGCTGTGGGTGTGCCGCACCCGCACCGAAGACACGGTCCTGGGGATGCACTGAGGTGAGTAAACCATCTTATCTTATTTATGCTCAATTGTGTCGAACGAGGCAACCACAGTCAAATAACCGGGCGTAGTACAGGGTTCTCCCCGACGCAGGCACCAGCGGTGTGTGCGCATTTCACCGCCGATGTCTGTCCGACATCCTCACGGGTTTGCGATGCTGTCTGTGTATATACCACACTCTACTATGGCCATTCTGAAACATTATGTTTGTGTGACTTGGACCGTCCGCACAACACTGCCCCATGTTGACCACGGTTTCATTACTCCATTGTTCTTTGGGCCCGTGATGAGCGCAAGGTGTTTATATCGTGCTGTTCAGAGCCCTCGTAGTACTTCAGCCGCGAGGCGTCTAACCTCCGTCATTAGCGCGCCAGCGGTGGCTCTTTGTTGTTCACAGCACCTCGGAGTTGTGTGTGTGTGTGCGCTAATATAAGGCACGTGACTCGCACTGTTTAGATGAACTGAGGTGTGATGGTTCCGAATCTGCGTTTGCTCGGCTCTGTGCAGAGTAGAGTCGCGCAGTGTCCTGGCTGTGCGGTCGCAGCTGGCCTTTGCATTTTGCGGGTGGCCATTAGCGGATCCTCCGCCCCTGCTGGTGCTGATGTTGCAGCGCCTGCCAATGTTGCTAGGCAGCCATACGGCGCGCGGGCCGCTAACTGGTAGGAACGGAGGATGCAAAAGATGAAAATGTTGTGCATCCACGTTGAAATGAAGGCCTAAAACTCAGGGTTTTAGCGCAGCTCTCTCATGAATGTCTGATCAATAGGCCTGCTCCGTGTGACTATCATCTTTGGGAGTGGTGTGCAAAAGTTTTTTTATTTTTTTTAAATGTCACACGGCTGTTAAGAAATGTAATCAGTGGTAAATACGTCTGTGATCTCAATTAACTGCAGTTTCCTGTATAGCTTATGTGTTGAATTATGAAATAGTCTTGTAAACCCGAGCCTTTTATCATTTTTACTAAAATGATCTAGTCATAGAGACTGATTAAACACCGCTGTTTGACCTGTTCAAGACAGAGCTTAGGATTTAGTTGTATTGTGTTACAATAATTCAAATTTCTAACATTTAAAATCAAGAGTGAATGAATGGAAATGGTCATAATTGGGGATATGTGACAATGAACAAAGATTCTAAGAGGTATGTTAATTAAGCTTATATGGCTTGTCCTACAGTGTATTTGTGGTTTGATGCAGTTGTTGAATTACCACTCTGCAGTTGATGTTGCATATGAAATAACAATATATGGGATTTAATGAAAAGAAAACACCAGAACTCCCTTTACTACAATGAACTCTCATTGCCTAATGCTTTTTCCAGTTTATCCCATTAGAGGCTGTAAAGAAATGTCAACTAAACTTATTTTCATCATCATGTGTAGACTATTTCTGCAGTACACTCTACCAAATGTTTAGAGTTGGTCCATTTATTTGGGGGTTGAATACAGAAAAGGTGCCCTTGTAGGCTACAGTATATACATAATTTAGTTCACTGCCTTAGTCTCTTGTTGTTTTAGGTAGGTATATTAGACTGAATATTTTGTGTTAAAATGTTTTTAAAAATAAAGCTGAGTTTCAGTTATACTGTAGGTAGCAATCCAGATGTAATCATGGTCAGGACAGTGAGGACTCGCCCTAAATGGGTTGATTGTGTTCTTTACCATAAGAGCAGGCAAATATAATGAGCTTCAGTGAGTTTAGAAGGTAAAACCTTGCCTATTTCACTAAATAACATTTAAGAATGAACCTTTTTTTTAAAGGTTCGCAACATTTTCAAATGTTTTAACTTGATATACACTGATTTAGCTTGATCTTATTTTGAAAAACTGTTAGTAAAGGTATTGTTTTCTTAAAAAAGATTTACATAACTGGTTGGGATCCACTGGCCAGCCATCATGACATAACCCAATCAAAGCCACAGAAAATCAATCCAAAGCTTGTACCGTTGTCTGCCTCTCTGCTGCTGCATGTCAGAGCTCAGGCACAGAGACCTCCTAAAACTAGATTTACAGCACTAAATACAGGCATGTACTCTGATGTAGTTCATCTTCACATATTAAAAAAAAAAAAAAAAAGTGGTTTAGATACAATTAGGTAAAAATCTCACAGCAGAGCATTAACTCTGATCTGTGTGTTTTGGTGAAGGACACCACAACAAATCCTGTGTTGGTATTTAATTATTAAGTGATATTGAAGTTCAGATTTAGCAGTTTGGTTTCAAAGCAAGCACCCAGCTGTAGAAGAGCAGAGAATGGCAGGGAATCAGCTTACTTACTTCCTAATCTAAAGAGGTAAGGTGATGCTGCAGCACGGTCAGCCATCACAGTGTGACTAAGGATAAGAGCAGGCTGCAGCGATGGTGGGCCGGCAGCCAGATTTCAATGTCTCCCCTTAGTCATTAGGACCCTCCCTGGAGAGAGGCTTTCTGTCTGCTGTCTGACAGCAGCTGGCCCCCTCTACCCCCAGAGAGAGAATATCACAGACACTGTGAACCATCCTCTATTGTGAGACAGTGATGCTTCAAATTTTGGTATTTATAGACGGACTGCTGCTCAAAATGAGTGACTTGTCAAAACATCTATCTGAATACATTTGAATACACATGATCTATTTAAAAAAAGAAAACACTGTTGATTCAGTAATAACAGGGCAGTTTCTCTATAATTATCTGATGGATTGGCTTGCAGACACCAGTATGTTCATATGTCATGTATGTTTAGGGAGCTCCGTTAGTGCTTTAGGGCACTGCTAATGTTTTTGGATAGCCAATATAATGTTTGTGCTTCGGAGCCCAGGACGCCTCAAATTGAAGTGCACAGTTTATCCAGAAACTCCATTAAAGGCTTTGCCATCTGTCAGTTTCCTGTGTGCAATGAAATTTAGTTGTGTACATGGATCCGACGTACCGATCTCTGTGCCTTTGGAGTGAGCATCTTAAGCTTGTCCTGGATCAGAGAGAGGGCATATGTGATCAGGGATGCCGAACTAGTATGTTGCAGTAATGCAACTATTCAAGTGTAATTGAGTCAGTTGTTGTGGCACCGGAGGGAGGGTGTGGTGTGTTTGGGACCTTATCTGCTCCCTGCAGTACTCTGTGTGCGTGTGTGAGCTGAGTAGGTTTCATACAGGGAGTGGCCAGCTCTTCTCTGAAGAGCATTACGGTAACTATTCTTTCTCCAGTTACTGAGTCGTATCACCAACCGACTTCCTGTCAGTGGTTCTGATGCTGCTGTCTGCATGTGAGCTCTTATGCTAATGCTGCATTTTTCTGTAGCTCTGCACTTCCACCCGCCAGTCCCCTGAGGAATACAGCATCCTTAATGTGAGGGTAGGTATTTCATTTTAATGCTTCCATTTGAAAATGGAAATGAAATTAATCCAGCCTTCACATGCTGTTCAATATGCTGTCTGTTTAGTACTTGCTTTACAGAAAGCTTAGTGTTGATGAGAATGCAATGTTTGTTTTTTTTTGTTTTGTTACTGCAATTGAAGTGTACATACAGTATGGGAGGGTATTGATTGAACTGACTGAACTTGATCTTTGATGGATCAGGGCTTTTGTTGATTCTTGAAAGTGTAGACATAGGGACAGTATAACATTTACTATTGACTGCACTTTTCCCATTTGCACACTTACTTAAATTTCTTGGATAAACCAACATGATAATGCCCTCTGCTGCTTTAGGAGCATACGGATAATATATGTAGAATTGTTTTCTTAAAACTTAATTTCATAGACTCACTTTTGTGATGTCTTTAAATGCGTTTTCCTTGTTTAACCTTCAAAAAATAATTTCCCCATTGTACTGTACTTAACCCATATGGAGGTTAATGTAAAACAGCAGGAAGTAGTGCATTAAAACAGTTGCACCTATGCACTTACAAGCTGACACCCAGACTGTTCTCATGCTGCATTTGCAGTATTTTTAGACTCGCAGGTTTTGAAATACAATCTTAATATCTTGTCAAGAAATGTATCATATTTACTGCCATATAACACCAATTTGCACTTCATGTGGATGACCTAGAAGATTGAGAAGATTGGTTAGTTGTCAAATGCTGCTGTAGTGCAGGTGTCATGACAAGGAGCAAGCATACCCAACCACGCCTTGTTCCTTACAGAAGTAGTAATAATGGTAAATAACGGTTACTTTAGTACTTTAGGTGTGGGTGAAACATTGTTTATATTAATAAGTTTGGAAGCTTTGTGTGCACTTATCTTTATTTCTTTATTTAGTAGCACATTGCAGTGCCCAGCACCTAGATTTGGGTGTGCATTCACCTGAGATTGTAAACACTGCTGTTTACGCAGCATTTACGGTATACTGCCATTTCTCTATTGCACTTTCTTTACAGTTCTCCCCACCCACCCTTGGTTGTAAGGCACCCACTGGAAAACGGTAGAAGATGAGCAAGTCTCCCACCCCTAAGGGCACCCCGGTGCAACGAAGCCCCAGTGATGGGGCCCCTGAAGGCCTCCATTCTCCTCAGCATTCCACACCTGGTTCTGGACCCCAGCATAAAAAACGCATTTCCAGCCTCCTCCAGAGTCCGGTGAGATGGCCTCCTGTCTGTGTTTGTAGGGTTCATTAGGTGAATCCCAGTTCTTCTAATTGCGTCCATGTTTCCCTCACTTGCATCTTTTCCTTATGTCTTAGTCCCGCCCACATAAAATGCAAGGAGAAACTGTGAGGAGAGAGGAACAAGGAAACATGTAATATTTGACATGAGACATCCTTTCCTTGAGCCTTCATGCAAAGTGTCCAATCACAAAATGATTTCTGACAAAGGGGCATGTCAGTACATAACAGACTTCTGTGAAGGATGCACTTGTATATCTTTAGTTAGAGCTCCTCCAGCAGCCTCCACGCTCCTCAGAGCAGAAATAGTTGGGACATCATCATGGTGGACCGGAATAACGTCCGGGTCATGCGAGGATTGTGGAACAATAAAATAAGGGAATTGGGATTCACCTATTGCCTGAGTCGCTTTCGTTTTTCTTGCTCTGTCTCTCTCTAGATATGAATATCTTCCCACATTAGAATAAATATGTCTTCAAATGCCACTTGACAGCTTGGGCTCAACAAGTGCCGGACCCCACTCTGAGTCCATGACTGTGTTTCTGCATTGTGGTGACACTGATGGAACTGTGTGTAGAGACAGCAAACATGAAGTGAAATAACTGGTGTAGAGAGAATGACCCATGAAATGTTTACTCACCTTTACCTTGGTAATCAGCACATGTGTTCAATGTTCCATGGATTTTGTTATTATAGCCTCTTTCAAATCAAATCAATGTATTTATATAGCACTTTAAAACAACAGCATGTTGACAAAAGTGCTTCACAGGTATAAAACATGTACAATAGGACATATAAAACAATATATTAAAATGGAATGGAAAATAAGAGTGACAGCACAATAACAAAATGGGTAAACTCCACTAACAATCATAGGCAAGGACAAACAAGTTTTTAGTAAAGATTTAAAATCAGATGGGTGTGAGACAGACCTAACATTTACAGGTAGGGAGTTCCAGAGTCTCAGGACCACTACTGAGAAATCACAATGTCGGCAATGAATCTCCAACTATAATAATAATCACCTTTATTTGGCCAAGCATGTTGTGCGCTCACGCACACACACACACACACACACACACACACACACAAAGAATTTGTTTCCAGTACAGAACCGAGGGAGCCATCTGCAGCACCAACTCACACTGATGGCTTTAACCATTGGGGGCAACTTGGGGGTTCAGTGTCTTGCCCAAGGACATTTTGCAGGCACACTGCAGGCACCGAGATTCGAACCTCCAATCCTCCGGTTGGGAGACGACATCTCCCAAAAACTGTTCACTGATCTAAGAACTCTCGGGGTCCTCTGCCATTGCACAAGTTCAGTGAGGTAGTCTGGGGACATGCTGTTTAATACTTTAAATGTAAATAACAGCAACTGAAACTGAATCCTAAAGTGAACAGGCAACCACTGAACAGAGGAGAGAACAGAGGATATATGGTTGCATTTGCGAGTACCCATCAAGAGATGTAAAGCAGCATTTTGTACCATTTAAATCTTAAGTAAAGATGTGTTGCCCCCAGAATACAAAGCACTACAGTAGTCTAGTCTGGAGCTAATAAAAGCATGATTGGCTTAGCAATCTTAGTTGCAGAAAACTAGTTTTTACAACAGCATTGATGTGCGTATCAAATTTAAATTCATTATCAAATAAAACACCTAGGTTTTTTAAAGTAGTTTTTGAATGAGAAACTCGAGGACCAAAGTCACAAGTAGACAAAGAATCAGCATTTCCAAATAAAACACTCGTATTAAGATGTAAGAAATTCCATGCTAACCAAGATTTGATGTCATTCAGAGGGTCAAATAATGGAGGAGGGGGTGCCATTTCTTGTTTTCAGTGGTAGAAAAATTTGTATGTCATCTGCATAGAAGTGAAAGGAATACCTGTGTTTCTCCAGTATGGACGCAAGTGGTACATATACAAAGTAAAAAGAGCTGGTCCAAGAACAGACCCCTGGGGAACACCACAGGTTAGTGGGGCAGGGCTGGAGGAGCGCTCTGATGTTGACTTCTAAGCTCCTGTCCATGAGATGAAACTGTAACCATTTGAGAACAGTGCCTTGTAACCAACATACTGTGCAAGCTGAGATAACAAAATTTCATGGTCTAATCTTTCAGATTATCCTGATGCCATGAGTTATTTTTTTATGAGACAGTGCAAGGTTCACCAAAGACAGAACTGTTCAAATCTTACACATAGGGGCTTTGAGTATTATGAAAGTGACACTATTTCTATTATGTGGTCTGTGTGATATTACATTAATGCTTGTGTGTGTGTGTGTGTGTGTGTGTGTGTAGTCATTCAGAGAGGAGCTGGATATGCTGATCCAGGAGCAGATGAAGAAGGGTGGCAGCTCATCTAACCTATGGGCACTGAGACAGCTTGCTGATTTTATGGCCTCCCATGGCTCTCCAGCAGCTCTGCCAGTGTCCCCTTCCAGTACGTGCACAAATCCTTTGATAAAACCTTGAAAGGAGTACTCCTCCAATTTAATATTGTGATCCAATAATGTTGTCACACTGTCATCATGGACCGTTTAAAAAATTTATCACAATTGATGGACAAGATCCAGAGATTTAATTGCCTTCTTTCTTCCTTGTTAAAACCTGGTGCCCACATTTTACACAGAGCAGCTCTACCACTGATACATCTGTAGGAAATTCTGTCTTTTAAATCTAACGGCAACAAAGGTACTTCCACGCTGCAAGGCCTCAGGCAGAGATGAGGAGCGGGCTACAGAAGTCTGGTGATCTGACTTTCCTAGTCCATATCCCCAGATTTTTTTTGCACTGTCAAGCTTGCATTTTTCAGCCCCAGAAGATGGTGACTCAGATTTCATCACTTGAGTCAATTTATCACATCAGGCTAGTACTTCTAAACATCTGTGAACAGACTGTGAATGCAGTATGTCAGAAAGGCCTCTTCAAATTTGACACAAGTGTCCACTCAAAGATGAACTGATTAGATTTTGGTGGTCAAAGGTCAAGGTCAGTAATTTACTTCTGTCCCATACCTGTGAATTTGACTGGCAGAGGCATATAGCTGTGAAGCAGCAATTCTAGTTAATCTATGTAATAATAATAATAATAATAATAATAATAATAATAGTAGTACTTTTCAGAACAGTTACAAAGTGCCTTACAATAACTAATAAAAGTAATAAAATCAAGAACAAATCTACAACACAATAAATAAAGCAGTTACAACATCAGTTAAGAAAAACCATTAACATTAATTGATGGCTGCATTTAGTTTACATCTGAATACAGTATCTGTGGTCATGGCTCACTGGCACACCTGAGGTTAGCTAAACATGGAATGCTGGGAGTAGAAGCCAGCTTCCATTCATCTTCTAGGAGAAGAGGCAACTCCCTCCAGACAGGCAGTGGAAAACTCTATAGCAGCTCCAACACCGATGGACTTCACTTGTGAAACCAAAAGACGACGACAACAGTGGCAGCAGCAGTAAAAATGCAGTCGGTCAAGTGATTGATCTGCCCATTGGCAGCCCAGTGTGGAGGGTGTGGGTGGTCCATGGCAACTTAGCCATGTTTTTGTGTTTCTGCCCTAAATGGAACAGAGAAACTGTTAGTTATTAGATCCACCTGAGCGTTTCATGCTATTAAAAAGTCAAAATGTCCGCTGTGAGTCAGGCGTATTGCTGTGCCACTGATCACTATTATTAACACAACCACTGCACTATAAGGATAATCACCATTCATAAGGATAATCACCTTTATTTGGCCAAGCATGTTGCACACAAGGAATTTGTTTCTGGTACAGAACTGTCACTTGGCATCATCATACACATTTGTAAATTATGATCCAAGGTGTTCATGAAGGACAGGGTGAGGCAGGATGAGGACAAATTGTTAAATAGCCCACAAAGAGAAGGCTTCCACTTCATTTGTGCTTTTATTTTATCACAACTGTTACATTGGCATTAGAGGCCCTGCACACCCACACAGGTGATTTCAATTATTCTGGTGGATTAGAGCTCTGTTCAGAGGAATAGAAAACACTTGCTGAAATCTCATTCAAATTCAGTGATTTCCACTACACAAAGAATGTACATCATTAAACATGCCATTGCAAAAATGATATAAAGACATTATCCATCAGTGCCATCTTCCATGTCATTATGTACAGTATGTACACTTAAGGAAACAATCAACCACTCTGTTTAATATTCACCTTTGTCGTCTTTACTGTGCTCTCTGACTCTGTCTGCTTTTCCTCCCTTCCTACCACCATGCAGACATGATGATGGTGACGCCCATCAATGACCTGCATGGCTGGGAGCCAGGCAGCATGGTGAAGGGGGAGAGGCTGATGCGCTGCAAGCTGGCCGCCACCCATCGTCTGTTCGACCTCTTCGGCTGGGCCCAGATCAGCCACACCTGTCTCACTGTTAGTTTTACTTTTTTGTAAGGGACCAGATATGTAAAGAGAGAATGCAGTGGAAGTAGAATTGAGCTAACAGGACATATACAGTATGAAGTTAGAACAGTTGATGCAGAAGAAAAGTGCTGTACTAACAAGGTTACAACTGTACTTATGATCTGAGATGTTCTTTGTGCTATGCAAGTGGAAAGACACCAAGAAGGTGTTCAAAATAGTAGGTTTCTTTCCCCTCAACTCAGGATTAATTGCTGAACCTAGCTTACTGGCAAGTTTTCTTCAACAAGCCCTGAGTTTCTCTTTGTCTCCTCCTGCCCAGTCTGATGGAGCTGTCTGTTTCATTTCCTCATTCATAGTCGGCATCGGCACAAATTTAAAATCCCCTCTGCAGGCAAATTTGTAACCAAAAGCCGGTCTTTGCTAAAGTCATCATAAGGACAGAGACAGCTCAGTTAATATTGCATGTTCAGCTCGACATAAAATGTTTAAAGCTTCAAGGCACTGACCTAGGAAAAGTCATTTCTCATTTTGTGAATGGTTGCACATTACTGTTGGCATCATCATAACAATCAATTTATGGTCCTTTTGGAAATTCTTTTCATTACACATTAACACAACGCAGATGAGCATGCCACCCCATTCAAACATCACAGTAAACAACAATAAACTATCATTCACAAAGATTTGTTCATCACTTTTATACCAGAGGGTATGAAAGATCTTTGGGCAGGGGAAAGATGTCTTTACTCAGTGTTGACTCAACTGACTCTGATCAGCTGCTCTGGAACGAAAAACTTGTTCAGACTTCCAGGTTAAGTTCAGAGTTTATTAAACCCGCTGTCTGGAACAGGCCCCAGAAAGGTTTTCACATGATAGTGTAA